CCGAACGAAATGAAATGTATATAATTTATGTAGAAAATATATACTTTTAACAGTGTCCGCCCCCCCCCCCCCCCCCGAAGAAAGTCTACCGCCCCCCCCCCCCTAAAATTTCAAGTGCCCCCCGGAGAAAAAAGTCTGGAAGAAACACTGTACCCATCTTCGTAGTTAACCATGACAACAGTTCACTCTATACGTTGAGCTTTTCGCACGATCGCTAATATTTTATCTATTTATCTCCCCTTTTATTGTTGACTATAGTTAAAACCCGACAAGTAAATTGAGATCTCTATAAGACAGTTGTCTGCCCCTTCTACGTAGTCAGCACCCAGGCAACCAGCTGTGACCAAACAACATCCAGCGTGAACCACAGCTCAGCTCATCGGATGATGGCCTCCAGCTAGTTATCTCCCCTTCTGTTGTTGAATATAGGAATATATCGAGTGATCGTTAGCATTTAATCATCTTATCTCCCATTAGTTTCAAAACACTTTATTTAGATTTTAATGGCTAATCCAATAGCTAATTAGATTTTTAAAATAGATATGCATGCTCTGCCCTCGAAGAAAATTTGAAAGAAATCGCTGTAAAGTTGGTCAAAATAGAGTTACAAGATTTGCCACAAAGCCACGAACCTACAAAGTGACAAACAAACTTTTAAACGCAGCAATGGACAATAGAGCATGGAAGGATGTTGTAATTGACCTATGTCACATTTGGGAGTTGAAAAGGGCGAAGAAAAAGAAACAGCACACAAAATTACACGCATAAAAGGGAACGAGGCATTACAGTACTAATCCTAACTAACCCCAAACCGTCACTGAAGTTTGTATAAGCTATGAACAACCCCCCCCCCCCCCCCCCAAATTGTAACCTAGCCGTGTAGCCTAGCCTTCAGTGAGCCGTGTCACAAGGTTTGTTTACATTAGGTTGCGCGCGCAATGTGTCTGTTCAACTTCCGCCATACCCCCAACAATTACCCGACATTCGCTCGTCAATATTGGTTGTTGCCTTTTACCTCTCTACTTTTTTCCGGAATGTTGGGTTGGGTGGGGGTGGGAGGTGCTCTGATGGGGGGGGGGGGGGGGGGCTCTGATGTGAATTACTGCTTTTTGACCAGAGCACACGCGAGCTAAAGTTTCCCGATGCTAATTATAGCCCTGGCCATCGTTGGTCTAGTTTACTCTGTAATTTCACTCTATGTACTTTTGTTTTCAACGGAAAGGATTTTTGTGGTTGTAAAATGTTTTGTCTGATTGTGTTTTCAAATGATGTTAACGGTTGTCGTCTGCTGAATTGTGTTGTTGTAAAGGCTGTTGTCTGCTCATTATCTTGTTAACTGTCATAAAAATGAGCGTCCAATAAGAAATGAAAAACTTACTAGATCTAGACATCAAATGTTAGTTTATATTCATTAAATAAATACAAGTATCGATATACCACATATCTAGCAATTTCGTATATGTAGACATCTAAAATTCGTACACATACTTTATTGGGTTAGCTTCATAGATCCCTACCATTGCTCACAAAAATGTAGGATGCAAAAGAGGAGACAATGACACAAAGAATACCTGAGCAATGACCTCGTCAAATCTAAAGAAACAAAGTAAACTACATACCTGGTTGGTGTGTCCTTCTGATGGTAATCCAATAGATTCAATGTTTAGCCAGTACTCACTTCATTCAGTATTTCCAATAGATTCAATGTTTAGCCAGTGTCCAATTCATTCAATAATCCAATAGATTCAATGTTTAGCCAGTGTCCAATTCATTCAATAATCCAATAGATTCAATGTTTAGCCAGTGTCCAATTCATTCAATAATCCAATAGATTCAATGTTTAGCCAGTGTCCAATTCATTCAATAATCCAATAGATTCAATGTTTAGCCAGTGTCCAATTCATTCAATAATCCAATAGATTCAATGTTTAGCCAGTGTCCAATTCATTCAATAATCCAATAGATTCAATGTTTAGCCAGTGTCCAATTCAGTAATCCAATGGATTTAATGTTTAGCCAGTACTCACTTCATTCAGTATTTCCAATAGATCATTGTTTAGCCAGTGTCCACTTCTGTCGTAAACAATTGGATTACGTTTTTAAACAGTGTCCACTTCATTCAGTAATCCAATGGATTTAATGTTTAGATTAAACTAAACAGCTCTAGCCATAAACGTGATGAGATATTTACTGACAACACAACATCCACACCAACACAACATCCACACCAACCACAACTGCCATACCAACACAACATCCACACCAACACAACATCCACACCAACACAACATCCACACCAACACAACATCCACACCAACACAACATCCACACCAACACAACATCCACACCAACACAACTGCCATACCAACACAACATCCACACCAACACAACATCCACACCAACACAACATCCACACCAACACAACATCCACACCAACACAACATCCACACCAACACAACATCCACACCAACCACAACTGCCACACCAACACAACATCCACACCAACACAACATCCACACCAACACAACAGCCACACCAACACAACAGCCACACCAACACAACAGCCACACCAAAACAACATCCACACCAACACAACAAACACGACAACACAACATCCACACAAACACCAGCCACGACAACACAGCCGAGTACAACACATACCGCCGTGTAACACCAAAAAGTGTTGTGATGTTTACACTCCGCATGTTTTCATGTCGACGTGAACATCGCTCACTCACAACATCACGACAATTTTCCTCCACCCAAACATTTGTTCCAGGATTTTGGGTGCAACAATATATTTATCATATTTTGTACAAATGTGTAACGTCAAGTCACTGTCATTGACATCACGTGTATCTGTCACATTCGTCTTCTGAGTAACCTTACCATTTAAAATAAAGCGAGAGTGATCTCCCTCAAACTGCCTCATCTATTCTCATGTTACATTTGCATGTTGAAGTTTGAGACAAAACTCCCCGCTTGTCAGTGGAAATTTGTGACAGCGGTTATCCAGAAAACAAATACTGACGAGTTCTTTTTTAAATAAACCGGGAGTGATCTCCCCTAAACTTTCTCGAATATTCTTATATGACTTGGAATATAGACATGATTTTTAATTACTTAAAATTTTAAAAATAGAATAGAATCTCATAGAAAAAAGAATTGCACACCACGCGAACGCCAAAACAAAATGTTCATAATAGTGCGCAATATTATTAGTACTTTATAAATTTACATGCATTTTTGAGAAATCGGAAATAGCGTAAATTTCTTTACCTCAGATAAGGTCAACATGTAACATCTCAACTTTTATTTTCCCCACGATTTCATTACTTCCCCTTGTACGAGCAATAACAGGTGTATTAAAATTAGGGGAAATATGAGTGAAACATTTTTTGAGGCAACATTTATTCACTTTTGAACACTAGAAGATATACCCAAATTTTGTCGTGTAATCTGTGAAATACAAACTTTGATTGCCTGTTTAACCTAGACAACAATTACGTTTGTGTTTTACCAAAATATAAAAAAAAATTGGACACTAGTGATAAAAGTCATGATCAGGTTTTTGGTGGCCCTTCGGGTTATTTAAAAATATTTAAAATTTGCGTCCAAAACTGTTTTGTACCATTAGGGTTTAATGGGAGCTGAGCAGAGGATGTATTAGATGGGTCACCAACCTCCATCAAATGAGATGGGTCACCAACCTCCATCAAATGAGATGGGTCACCAACCTCCATCAAATGAGATGGGTCACCAACCTACATCAAATGAGATGGGTCACCAACCTCCATCAAATGAGATGGGTCACCAACCTCCATCAAATGAGATGGGTCACCAACCTCCATCAAATGAGATGGGTCACCAACCTCCATCAAATGAGATGGGTCACCAACCTCCATCAAATGAGATGGGTCACCAACCTCCATCAAATGAGATGGGTCACCAACCTCCATCAAATGAGATGGGTCACCAACCTCCATCAAATGATGGGTCACCAACCTCCATCAAATGAGATGGGTCACCAACCTCCATCAAATGAGATGGGTCACCAACCTCCATCAAATGAGATGGGTCACCAACCTCCATCAAATGAGATGGGTCACCAACCTCCATCAAATGATGGGTCACCAACCTCCATCAAATGAGATGGGTCACCAACCTCCATCAAATGATGGGTCACCAACCTCCATCAAATGAGATGGGTCACCAACCTCCATCAAATGAGATGGGTCACCAACCTCCATCAAATGAGATGGGTCACCAACCTCCATCAAATGAGATGGGTCACCAACCTCCATCAAATGAGATGGGTCACCAACCTCCATCAAATGATGGGTCACCAACCTCCATCAAATGATGGGTCACGACCGACCACCCCACCCCTCTAAATGTCTATCATTCCGCTGACCTGAGCTACTGTGACCATCCGTCTCTGTCCGCCCACCACCTTATGGCGCCAGCTGGAATTTAATCCCAAGTTGCAGGGGTTATCCCTCCTAAGTGTATTGCCCGACCCACACCCCCACCCCAATCAAGATCCTCCCCACACACACACCCCACACCCAAACCTCCTGGCTCCCAAAATCTTCCGTCTATGATGGATGGCCACTGACGTATGGCCAGAGATAATGGAAGAGTTTTTGCTCAGGGGCCGACGATAACTTAGGCCAACCTGTTTTGTTGGTGTGGGTCTCTGGTCTACAATTGATGACGTCATCTGGGTCTCTGGTCTCCTATTTATGACGTCATCTAGGTCTCTAGTTTCCAATTGATGACGTCATCTAGGTCTCTGGTCTCCTATTGATGACGTCATCTAGGTCTCTGGCCTCCTATTGATGACGTCATCTGGGTCTCTGGACTACAATTGATATGTATAACATTATGAGTGTGTACCTTATGTGTGTGTGTGTACCTTGTGTGTGTATGTGTGTGTGTGTGTGTGTATGTGTGTAACCAGAAGCTTGAGCTAACACGTGCCTTGCTCCCACCGACAGAACTACCTGGTACAGTTCGGATACCTGGAGCCACAAGACCCCAAGACTGGTGCCCTCAGAACTCACGACTCGTACGTCCAGGCTTTAGAGAGGTTCCAGAGAATGGCAGGGATACCTGTCACAGGTCAGTCAGTGTGGTCAGTATGATATGACGTCATCATGACATGACGTCAGCATGACATGTCGTCAGTATGACATGAGGTCAGCATGACATGACGTCAGCTTGACATTACATCAGTATGACATGACGTCAACATGACATGACGTTAGGTGATGAAGGCTCAAGGCTTGGTTTATAGACAGCTCAACATCAATATATCACCTCCCCTACATCGATATTACCTCCCCTCCATCAATATTTTACCTCACCTAAATCAATATATCACCTCCCATACATCAATATATTACCTCCTCTTCATCAATATATTACCACCCCTACATCACTCTATCACCTCCCCTACATCAATATATCATCTCCCCTACATCAATATATTACCTCCTCTACATCAATATATCACCTCCCCTACATCAATATATCATCTCCCCTACATCAATATATTACCTCCCCTACATCAATATATCACCTCCCCTACATCAATATATCACCTCCTCTACATCAATATATCACCTCCCCTACATCAATATATCATCTCCCCTACATCAATATATTACCTCCCCCTACATCAATATATTACCTCCCTTACATCAATATATTACCTCCCCTACATCAATATATTACCTCCCTTACATCAATATATTACCTCCCCTACACCAATATATTACCTCCCTTACATCAATATATTACCTCCCCTACATCAATATATCATCTCCCCTACATCAATATATTACCTCCCTAACATGAATATATTACCTCCCCTACATCAATAGATCATCTGCCTACATCAATATATTACCTCCCCTACATCACTCTATCACCTCCCCCTACATATTACCTCCCCTACATCATTATATTACCTCCCTTACACCCCTCTCTCCCCTGCCCCCAGGTGTGCTGGATAACGCCACCAAGACGATGATCAGTCTACCTCGCTGTGGCAACAAGGATAACATAACCCTCGGCTCAGCCAGAAAGAGGAGATACGCTTTACAAGGTAGGAGTTGTCCCCCTTGCTGGTTTATTTAATTGGGGTAATTTAATTTAATGAGGGCTCCGGTTGCTGGCCATGTGGATGACGTCATGGCAGGTGTTATCTGACGGCACGCCGAGTGATTGTGTCATCACCTGCCCGACAGACGAGATATGACGTCAGACTAGTGACGTCAGGGTGGTGTCTAGCTCGACCTGTCCATGAACCTTAGGGTTAAAGGTCATTAGCCTCACCAGGTCAGAGTGGATAACTCAAGTACACCATAGTAGGTTAATGCACCCCGACCCCAGGAGTGAGGGGGGGGGGGGGTAGTAACAACACGAACCCAGTTTAGAGGGGTCAGTAAGTCCACGATCCCAGGTGAATGGGGGTCAGGTACACCACGATCCCAGGGGTCAGTAGCCTCACAATCCGAGGTGTGGGGGTCAGGTACACCACGATCCCAGGGGTCAGTAGCCTCACAATCCGAGGTGTGGGGGTCAGGATTGAATATTGGGGAGGGGGAGTTTGATTCAGCTGCTCCTGAGAGAGAGTTACTACATTAAATCAGCCGACTGTAACCATTAGATCAGGGGTCTCCAAACTACGGCCCGCGGACTGGATGCGGCCCGCAAAGTCATCTGATCCGGCCCGCGGAGATATTTTTGTCCAAGGAAAAAAAGTTTGTTAGTGATGGCTGGGGAACTTTCCCCAGAAAAATTAAAGACATGACTGGAAGAAACAGGCCCCCGAACTGAAATTTGATAGTTAATGCGGCCCTCGGACTGAAAATTTTGGAGACCCCTGCATTAGATCATTTGACTGCAGGTGCTGTGGGTGGGTGGAGTGGTGTGGTCGTAGTGTAGAGCACAACAAGGTCAACTGTAGGGTAGTTCCTAGACCTAGAGGGATCAACGTACAAGTTGCAGTGTTTCTTCCAGACTTTTTTCTCCGGGGGGGCACTTGAAATCTTCGGGGGGGCGGTAAACTTTCTTCGGGGGGGCGGACACTGTTAAAAGTATATATTTTCTATATAAATTATATAAATTTCATTTCGTTCGGGGGGGCGGTAAAAAATTTTCGGCCTGGAAGAAACTCTGACAAGTTGTGTAGTTGTTTTAACAAAGGTGCAGACTGCAGGTATATCTTGCAGGTATATATGCAGGTGTATATTGCAGGTATACCTTGCTGGTATATGCAGGTGTATGGTGCAGGTCTATGTTGCAGGATTATATGCAGCTGTATAGCGCAGGTATATTTTGCAGTTACATATGCAGGTATATAGTGCAGATATACATGCAGGTGTACAGTGTAGGTATATGGCTTAGTTGTACTTTAGGTATAAAACTGATGAGACTAACGTTTTTTTTAACTCACACACATCATAATGAATTATTTTTTTCTAATTTACACACAGCATAATGAATTTAAAAAGTTAACAAAATATTTCCCTGTTTTGAAAAGAAATATTCAAAAACAATGTGAGAACGGAATCAAAAGATTATAGAAACAAACATTGAAAACGAGGGGGGAAATGTAAAAATAATTAAGTCTTTTCTTTGATGTTCTAAAGTCTGATTTTTGTTGTGTAAGTCTGAGGTTTGTTGTGTTTGCGTGCGATTGACTGAAGTCTGTTTTTGCTGAAATTATCATGCAGAGGATTGCTGTTTTCGATAGCTAACAAAAACCGCCACCACCCCCATCCCTCCGCCCATCACCAAAACATAGGGGTCGATGACCGCCCCGTGAAGCCTTCAATTAACGTAGTCTAGTTTTCTCATCGGCACTTTGTTGGCTCTGACCATTATATCGTCTCCTCTTCTTTAGTTCTTTACTCTTTTCTCCTCTCTACTTTATAAGCAAGTAGCCTCCGCTGACGTTAGAGGAGACAGATATCTACGAGTTTTGTAAAGATGAAAGTAGTCGAGGAGACAGATATCTACGAGTTTTGTAAAGGAGAAAGTAGTCGAGGCAGGCAAATAATCATCCACTTAACTTTAGTGGACGAATAAACGCATATCATCGCGTGCGGGATTTGTGTGTATGTTTATGTGTGTGTGTGTATGTCTGTGTGTGTATGTGTGTGTGCGCGTGCACGCGTGAGCAGTTCTCTGTGCTCGTCCAGTGATCAGCGGCCGCCCATCCATCAAAATGTTGGACTGGACGTAGAGTGTTTTTTATATAAAAAATACAACGTAAAAACTATAAAAAAAAACAAAATGTTTCCCTGGTGATTGGAGCGTTGAGAATGTTTCAGCAGTAAATTAGAGATGCTTAATTTATCAAATCCCAACCCCCCATCCCTCCCCTATGATGGTATGTTTATCAAACTACAGCCCCCCCCCCCCCTCCCCACCCCGCCTGCACGTCACAAAAGACAAAGAACAGAAAACAAACAACACGACCTGGGTGCATGTTTTGAGTGTTGTAAGTTGTGACTGACATTTGAAAACATCAAATCGTATATTTTGTCAATCAGCAGCGTACAAGTACAAAATATTTCTTACGTCTTATAGTGTAAAGGGGGGGGGGGGGGATTAGCCTCAGGTACAGTAAAAACTTTTCTACATTCTATAATACATGTTTTAACACTGAACTGATAAAAACTAGAGCAGTCCACTACACTTAAGCCAGAATAAATTGCTTTTCCACAGGAAGAGACACATTTTCCGTTCAAGAGAACTATTTAATCCCCGTCAATAACGACTGAACTACTTTTTTTTTTTAAATTGCCATGCCCCGCCCTCATCCTGTGTACAGATGTTGAAATAACTAACTACAGTCTATTCCAGGGGTCGGCAACCTTTTGAAGCGGAAGAGCCAAAAGTTACAATTTTCAAAATTTCCCTGGTTTTAAAGAGCCACTAACATTTTTTCATTTCAAATATTTGATTTTTTTATTAAGATTGTTAGTATTTGTTTAAGGAGCTGGAGAGCCGCATCTTGATATCAAAAGAGCCGCATGCGGCTCGCGAGCCGCAGGTTGCCGACCCCTGGTCTATTCTCTTTTCTAAAAGTGTTTTTGATTATTGTAAACAAAAGCTTGCGCAATCACACAATGTTGGTTGTTGTTTTGTTTTTTAAATTGCATGTGCCGAGCGGAACAAAAGATTGTAGGAAAAAAAGTCACAGGAAAAAAAAACACAGGAAAAAAAAACACAGAAAAAAAGTCACAGGAAAAAAAGTCACAGGAAAAAAAGTCACAGGAAAAAAAAATCACAAATATATATTTGCATGATGTTTGTTAATACTTTTATGTATTGAATATTTAGAGAGTGCAAATTAACTTAGGATTAATTAAATGTAATGTAATGTGTGTAGGCTGTATACGCATAGGAATTTTTATAATTCATCTAAAAATATTTATTATGAAGTATGTAGATTGTAATTATTTAAAACTTAAGATTAGTAGCATTTAATAGAATGCTCCCACGTTTTTCATTGTTTTTTTTAAATTACCATGAAATGGTAAGTTCATCTGACTTGCTGCCCTCAACTCATGGCAACAATAGTTATGTTTAGTTCAACCACCTTTACTGCCCACATTTATCACGCTCATTACATAACAAAACTTAGGATCAAAACAGAAAGCCGACAAGGTTCAAAGGCTGTCATTGACGCATAAAGTCAACAACACCAAGTATGTTCGGACAATGCCTACTGAGGAGAGGCCGACCAGAGAATAGCCTACGGCAAAATGTGCCTAAATTTCTTTTATAATTAACTTTTCTACCGCGTATTTAAATAAATACGTAACAAAAGTTGAGATTGTTGCGTTAATTATCTTAGAGTATTTTTACTTATAATTGTTATAAATCATAATGCTTTTAACGTCTATAAATAATTTATGCTATCAAAAAATACAACCCACAACAATAAACATACACAATTTTATAATTCTTAACAAATTAATAAAAATATTTCTAAAAAGATTTTTGTGACTTTTTTTCTGTGACTTTATTTCTGTGACTTTTTTTCCGATAAAATTTTTCCACTGTGACTTTTTTTCTGTGACTTTTTTTCCTAGCAAAAACTGTGACTTTTTTTCTGTGGTTTTTTTTCCTGTGACTTTTTTTCCGTTTACCGAACAAAAGACACTGACACTCAGACTACGGTTTTTATTCCTAATTTTTAGTTCGCTGAACGAGAGGCTCTGACTCAGTATAGTAATACTAAGTAATTATATTCTATATTATAAGGAATTAAAAACTTTTTTACAATTTCTTCGGTGAATTTGATGGATTTAATTACTTTATTACTTTTTATTTATATTTTTTTTTTCTGACAGGCAGCAAGTGGGCAAAGAAAAGTTTGACTTTTAAAATTTCCGAATACCCACGTGGTATACCGCGCGAAAAGGCGGAACAGGAAGTGCACGACGCTCTAAAGGTAACATTGAGTAGAGTACAGAGTTTCGCTCGTCAACTAGTCTAGATTTGGATTTAGATCTAGATGTGAATTGACTTTTTTTAAAATGTATCTTCTAGCCTAACAATGACGTGTCTTGTCTTGTAGGTGTGGAGTGACGTCACGCCCTTGAACTTTATTTTACGGCCCTTTGACGAGAAGGTTGATATCGATATCAAGTTTGCTCGTCGTCACCATGGTGACGGGAACCCGTTTGACGGAAGGGGTCAAACGTTGGCCCACGCCTACTTCCCCCAATACGGCGGCGACGCCCACTTTGACGACGATGAAGACTGGACAATTAACCTTTCGTCTGGTAAAATTAGACAGACATTCAAAGTATCTTTATAAATATAATCATATATAAAATATAACAATACATAATAATATAAACTAGAGTCTCTTTTGGCTTTAAAATGTGTTTAACAAGTCTTTGGATTTCGAATCAAGGTTTGCTTAACTTAAGGCTTTACCATTAAAAAAAACCAATGGTGCGTCATGGCCAATGTGGGCTTGTTAACTTATTTAGAAAAATCTACACAGATCTAATAATGATCTAGATCTAATAATATAATATTACAGGCCCTATTTAAAATTAAACCAGGCAAATATGAATAGTAGGCCTACAAGCCAAACAATAAGTTTAATTAAAGTTCCCTTTTCAAACCTGGCGGTCTATAGGGCAAGTGAAGTAGAGTTCACTTGTTACTGTGACCTTAGCATATGAAGAGATAGTGTGGTCAGCACTATGTCCATCCGCCTTTACTTTCCCTAACTGTGAGTTAGGTACCCATCTGAGTTGGGTGGACTCAGGGACGGTCTACTGACATGAACCCGGATTTGAACTCGGGACTTACGGGTTAGCAGTCCAGCTCTCTACCGCTAGACCACTCCGTCCCATGTTAAGTTTAAGGGCCTGTTCTATTTTCTAATTCTATGTCATCAAAATAATGTAACATGTTATTGCTGCAGCCCTCACCACAAGGTAACCTATCTCTGCAGGTATCAACATGTTTCAAGTGGCCGCCCATGAGTTTGGCCACTCCCTGGGTCTCTCCCACAGTGACGTCAGCACTTCCTTGATGGCCCCCTTCTACAGAGGCTACCAGAGACACTTCCGGCTAGACCAGGACGACATCAATGCCATACAGGAACTATACGGTACCATTTAGCAACTTGACTATTCATATAATAGTGTAGTGTAAACGTATGGTACCACTAATCAACTTGTCTATTCATATAATAGTGTAGTGTAAACGTATGGTACCACTAATCAACTTGTCTATTCATATAATAGTGTATTCATATGGTACCACTAATCAACTTGACTATTCATATAATCATATGGTACCACTAATCAACTTGACTATTCATATAATAGTGTAATCATATGGTACTGCTAATCAACTTGACTATTCATATAATAGTGTAATCATATGGTACCACTAATCAACTTGACTATTCATATAATCATATGGTACCACTAATCAACTTGACTATTCATATAATCATATGGTACCACTAATCAACTTGACTATTCATATAATAATATGGTACCACTAATCAACTTGACTTTTCATGTAATAATATGGTACCACTAATCAACTTGACTATTCATATAATAATATGGTACCACTAATCAACTTGACTATTCATGTAATAATATGGTACCACTAATCAACTTGACTATTCATATAATCATATGGTACCACTAATCAACTTGACTATTCATATAATAATATGGTACCACTAATCAACTTGACTTTTCATGTAATAATATGGTACCACTAATCAACTTGACTATTCATATAATAATATGGTACCACTAATCAACTTGACTATTCATGTAATAATATGGTACCACTAATCAACTTGACTATTCATATAATAATATGGTACCACTAATCAACTTGACTATTCATATAATAATATGGTACCACTAATCAACTTGACTATTCATATTATAATGTAATCATATGGTACCATACGTTAAACTATAGTATTCATGCCAAAGTTTATTTAATACTATATTGTTTATGTAAATGAAACGAAATAATCAACACTCACAATGTAAATGTTCCATCAGGGTCTCGTCGATCTCGAGGCCATGAGGTGGTCAAGCAGGTCAAACAGACACCCCCGTCCAGATCTTCTGTGTTGGGGGTCCCAAAAATCTGCACTCAGCCGAGAATAGATGCAGCAACTATGACCTCTGATGGACACACCTACATTTTTAAAGGCTAGTTTTATCTTTACTTTGTACTGTCTCATCACTTGTGCCCAATCACTACTTTGTACTATTATTGCCCCAACCTCAGTTTGGTGACATTTGTTTTTACACTTGTCGTGACATACTTTGATATAACCAAGAAAACTTTATGGGTAGAAAAATATTCAGTATTTTATTTAATTTTTTCATATTCCTGGACTCAGCTTTATTGAAAGCTTGAGGTATTTGTTTCTCTAATTAGGGGCCTATAGCAAATATTATTTTATTATGTTTGGCTTGAAGGTAGAACAACAATGAAACGGTCAATTAGCTTACTACTTACTATGGAACTATCCAAATTACTTAATGCTCTCTAAAATCTATATATATAATTCTCCTCTTCGAGCCGTTAGAAAACAAGCTGCAAACGCTCTCCCTACCTCCCCACCCCTACATGGTTTTAGTGAGCTGTGTTCACTCTAAATGTTTACAAGCAGAGCCAACGATTTTAAACGTAGGGGGGGGGGGGGAGGAGGGGGGGAGGGAAGGAAGGGGGGGGGTTATGGTCCTTAACGAGCTACTTATAGTGTTTTAAAGAAATATTTTCAGTGTCAGCGTTGGTACTGTCGAATTCACAAATTATGAATTATTGAAAATTAGAAACAACTAAATAGCGGCGTATGTTATGCCGCGGGCCGGCTCGTGTATATAATTTCAGTTATTAAATCCAACAGTTATTTAAATTCTTCTTCTTTACTTACACATTTAAATCTAGACCAATATTTCTCCATTACACCTTGCTTATAGAAAAACAATTTTTTTATGAATGTTTGCTTGCAAATAAGCAATATTTCTCTATTACTTTTTGCTTGCAGATAAACAATATTTCTCCATTACTTTTTGTTTGCAGATAAACAATATTTCTCCATTACTTTTTGCTTGCAGATAAACAATATTTTACCTTTATGCTTGCAGATAAGCAATATTTCACATTTATTTTTGTTTTCACTTTCAGATAAATAACATTTCTCCATTACTTTTTGCTTGCAGATAAACAATACTATCTCCTGAACAACCATGGAATAGCAGAAGGCTATCCCAAGGAGATATCCCATGACTGGAAGGGTTTAGAAGGTCCAGTAGACAGCGCTTTACATTGGGACAATGGATTCACTTATTTTTTTAAGGTCCTTAAATGTTTTCACCTCAAGCTTTCACTAACCTCTTAAGGTCCATGATTTTGTTTTATTACATTATTTTTTATGGTCTAGTTTTACTTGAAATCTAATTTGTTTTTAAGTCTGTGATGATTTGTAATACCATTTGTGTTAAACTACTTAAATATTGGAATTATAATTTGTGATTTTGTAAATAATTTATCAATCAATTCCAAGCAATGTGCACTGTTTAGTAATGTATTAACTTGTGAAAATTTGTGCACTGTTTAGTAATATATAAACTTGTGAAAATGTGTGCGCTGTTTAGTAATGTATTAACTTGTGAAAATGTGTGCACTGTTTAGTAATGTATTAACTTGTGAAAATTTGTGCACTGTTTAGTAATGTGCACTGTTTAGTAATGTGCACTGTTTAGTAATGTGCACTGTTTAGTAATGTGCACTGTTTAGTAATGTGCACTGTTTAGTAATGTGCACTGTTTAGTAATGTGCACTGTTTAGTAATGTGCACTGTTTAGTAATGTGCACTGTTTAGTAATGTGCACTGTTTAGTAATGTATTAACTTGTAAAAATTTGTGCACTGTTTAGTAATGTGCACTGTTTAGTAATGTATTAACTTGTGAAAATTTGTGCACTGTTTAGTAATGTGCACTGTTTAGTAATGTATTAACTTATGAAAATTTGTGCACTGTTTAGTAATGTGCACTGTTTAGTAATGTGCACTGTTTAGTAATGTGCACTGTTTAGTAATGTGCACTGTTTAGTAATGTGCACTGTTTAGTAATGTGCACTGTTTAGTAATGTGCACTGTTTAGTAATGTGCACTGTTTAGTAATGTGCACTGTTTAGTAATGTATTAACTTGTAAAAATTTGTGCACTGTTTAGTAATGTGCACTGTTTAGTAATGTATTAACTTGTGAAAATTTGTGCACTGTTTAGTAATGTGCACTGTTTAGTAATGTATTAACTTATGAAAATTTGTGCACTGTTTAGTAATGTGCACTGTTTAGTAATGTGCACTGTTTAGTAATGTGCACTGTTTAGTAATGTGCACTGTTTAGTAATGTGCACTGTTTAGTAATGTGCACTGTTTAGTAATGTGCACTGTTTAGTAATGTGCACTGTTTAGTAATGTGCACTGTTTAGTAATGTATTAACTTGTAAAAATTTGTGCACTGTTTAGTAATGTGCACTGTTTAGTAATGTATTAACTTGTGAAAATTTGTGCACTGTTTAGTAATGTGCACTGTTTAGTAATGTATTAACTTATGAAAATTTGTGCACTGTTTAGTAATGTGCACTGTTTAGTAATGTGCACTGTTTAGTAATGTGCACTGTTTAGTAATGTATTAACTTGTGAAAATTTGTGCACTGTTTAGTAATGTGCACTGTTTATAAATGTGCACTGTTTAGTAATGTGCACTGTTTAGTAATGTGCACTGTTTAGTAATGTATTAACTTGTGAAAATTTGTGTTGAAGGGAGACCATTATTGGAAATTTTACAACTTTGACCTCATCTATGTCCGGAGTATAGATGAAGGCTTCAAGGGACTTCCAGGAAATATTGACGCAGCTTTTGTGTGGGGAGGGAATGGAAAAACTTATTTTATTAAAGGTAATATTTATGAAGGTTGGGGGGGGGGGGGGGGGGGTGAAAAACCATGTTATAAAAGGCATGGACTTTTGTGGTGCTACAGTTTAAAGCTGGTTAGTCAGCTTTATTCATTACCAGCATTAATTAGTGGCTGCTGTGTTTCAGCTCTTGAGCATAATTAATTTTTGTAATCTAGATAGGGGCTACAGTAACTTTAAAAAAAAAATCTCCAAACCATGAGGCTGTCTGCTGGGCCAGACAGTGAAGGTTTTAATAGATCCCTAAATGGAGGGATTGTGTGGTCAGCAACCATGTCTCAGATGACATAAGACATGCTGATCATGTTCTATGTACTGTAGTAGTTAAGTCATCTTTATAGACTCTAAGCATAGCACTGGCTTGCTCCATCATATTCTGTGTTCTCCATTGACTATATATGATAATTAAACTGTTAAGTTCTTAAACCTGACGGACCATGGGGCAAGTGAAGTAGAGTTCACCTGTTTCTATTACCTTGGCAATTAAACTGAGAATTTAGTCAATGTGTCGCTGAAATCACTGACCACCGAGTTTGGTTGATTACCAGCAGCAGTGAAAAAAACAAATCATTTAGTACCGTTTTAATTTTCAACTGTTTGCACCAGGGGACAAGTACTGGAGATACACCTTGAATCATGTGGATCCTGGCTACCCTAAGTCTATGTCAGTTTGGACTGGTCTGCCTCCTCACATTGATGCTGCTCTCAAGTGGAAGAATGGAAGAACCTATTTCTTCAGTGGGGACTTGTATTACAGATACAATGATGTTGATTTTGATGTGAGTACTATTAGCCTTACAAATAAATAGCTGATTTGATTTTATTCTGTTTTGATAGGTTTTTTTTTACCTTAAAAAATGAAAGTTGAACCACTTTAAGAACAGAAAGACTAAGTGCTACTTAATTTGAAACTGTTACAAGTTCAAACTGTAGGGTCAGCAGTAACAAAACTCTACTGCTTGACAACATCTCCCACAATTGTCCATAAGACATGATAAGATTGAGTCGTCACTCTTAAACTGTGAACAATACAAATGTGGGCCACAGCTGTGTACAAGGGGAAGTAATTTTTTACAATGTGACAAATACACCTATTATTCAGGTAAAATTGTTCATGTAAAATTAATTTAAATTTTCCGACCAACAGATTGACACGTCGTACCCCAGAAACATCGCCAGTTGGTGGTTGGGATGTCCAGAGAAGGAGAAACTGAACCACATCAAGCACAACAGCACCAACCACCAGCAGCACACGGGACTCACACAGCCTGACACAGAGGTCACGAGTTCAGGTCACAGCGAAGCTGACACAACAGACGAGGAGTTTCTAACAGTCGCAGGGAACAGCGAGAACAGTTTTAGCTCGTTTAACGGAACGAGCTCAGCAGTGACGAGTAACTTGTGCTTAGTCTTGGTGTCAACTCTGGTTTTTAGAATCATCTACAGTACAAAAATAGGGGAGATAATCAGTTGATACCTGCTGCTGTTTTGTTATCTCATGCACTCTAGTGATATCATCTAGACTTGTTTAGCAAGTGCTGAAACAGAGAAGACTTTTTAAAAAAACAAATTTAACTTAATTAAACTGAGATGGAAAAATTTGATATATTTTATAAAGGCTGCGGATTGAACTTTTCTCTGAAAATCTTTGCTCATTCTTTCAAATATTAACTTATAAAATCTATCGATTTTGTCCGTACATTTTTAACAGTTTATACTCTGTTTCAAATGAGTGTAGCTCTACAGGGTTAAATTATGTTTTTGATTAGAAACATGCCATATGAGCATTACTAGCTTTCAACAAAATGTTTATTGTCAGGTTTAAATAACTAAGGTGTATGATTTAGCTCTAGAATCAAAGCTAAACTTTTGAGGTTCCAAAATTGTTTTTTTTTAATGTTATTAGATCTGTTACAACTAATTTGTTTTTGTGAATAAAATTAAGTGATTGTAAAATGTTATAGGCCAATTATCTCTGTGAATGAACTTTTTTAAGCAATTTACAAGCATAATGTCTGGACACCGTGATTGCGTGAGAATGGTTTTCATATGACTGACATATTTTTATTACGTCATGTAGCTTTCATGAATGAGGGTGCGTCATTTTTTTCAAGAATGGTTTTTTACTTTCTAAAGATGCGTAGATATAAAAATTATTACTTAGAATTATGTGTGTGTATATATATAGATATATATATATAAAATATATTATATATATATTATATATATATAATGTGTTTATATATATATATATATATAAAATATATTATATATATATATTATATATATATAATGTGTTTATATATATATATATATATATATATATATATATATATATATATATATATATATATGATGCTTGCTAGAAATAATTTAAGTATTTTCTAATTGACAATCATTAGCTAGGTTAGTCTTGTATTAATGTCTGTTCTGGTATGTTGTTGATTACATTTCTATGCCAGAATGGTTAGATATGTTTCTAATGTATGATTTTTGCAAATATTGTACATAGATTTACACGTGAGTCTGCTGCTATTGGCCAGATAGGGATGTCAGTTGCATGCATTCAGTTGTCTGGCGTTCTTTGAGAGAAAATATTTCACTTTTGCCCTCATAATTATCATCAGGAAATAATTTTCTTTTCTTGCCAATTCTTGCTCAGATATTTGTAAGGCTGATATTCTCAAGACTAGTTAGATGTTTAAAGTGTCATCCACTTCTTAGCCATTCCCAGAAGCTATCATACATTTTATTAGATATTTGCCAGTTTTTATGGACTCCAAAGGTATTAAAAATGCTGCAACCAAACCCTTAAAACTATGAAAAAATAAAGAGCTGAGTTCAAAATAAAATTCCAATGTCAAGTACATTCTATTATTGATAACAAAATCAAGTAATTTTCTGTTTTCAAAACAAAACTAGGAATTTAAGTAATTTAATTATATTTTTAGGAGAGAATAATTTAACTAAATTTGGAAAAAGCAATTATAATTGACCTACACTTCATAAAAATATGAAGTGTGTTTTTTTTTATATTAATATCCTTTTACACAGTCCTTTCTATAAATGTTTGTCATTAAGTAATCTTTCAAGACATAAGCATATTGACAATGGAAAAGTTTGTGACATTACATCTGCCTCCTACTTGAAAGAATAGAAAGATTGTTTTTTCTTTAAATTGAACACACAATTTGTCTAAAAGTGTATTTTTTTTAACTGCAATTATTTTATCAAATTTGTATTGATTTTGAAGTGATAAATATCTAATATCTATTGATTGCAAGAAACATTTTTCGCAAGAACTAGAGGTACTGTTTGATTTTAATTTAAAACTGAGATTTTAAATAAAAATTTTGATACATTTTTTGGAAGTTTTTCAAGTAATGTCATTAAACTCCTGCTGGATAAGTTCCTAACATTGTACAAGACTTTGAATTGGAGTGTAAGGTGTTTGATGTGGTCAGTGGGTTGGAGGGTACAGGTGTTTGATGTGGTCAGTTGGTTGGAGTGTAAGGTGTTTGAATGAAGTGATGCTAGTTTAGGTAGAAGGGTACAGGTACTAACTAATGGTCACCTTAGCGTCAAGTGGGGCAATGTATTACAACAGGTAAACAACACAAGTGTTAGTGATGGGGAGGGCAGAGATGTAGCAACAGACAGGTGATTGGGGGGGGGGGGGGGGGGGATGTAACAGAACAAACATTCAAGACACATTGGAACATAAGAGAAAAACAATATCTACAATGTTTGACTGATATTTGTTACAATTAAATGTTTTATTGAATAATTAATAGTTATGATATATCTACCAATTTTTTACTGTCAGTTGTATCACAAGGGGCAGATGAATCACAAAATTCTTTCATTTTTGTAAAGAAATCTGTATAGGACTTCTTGGTATTTCCTGTGGCTGCAACAAAGTGGCCTCCGGGATGCTTTAAGGTGACAGGCTCCTCAAAGAACTGCAGAAGTTCCTCACTCATCTCCGTGGAGATGATCTTGTCTGTCTCTCCGTAAACGTGCAGGGAGGGAATGTGTGACCTGGTGCTGTAGTACACGTCATGGTTGGAGGAGCGACTTTTAAAGCCTGCGACAAGAACAGCAAACTTGAACCAGTTTTTGCCCTCCTGTTGTTGCATCATGCACAACATTGAAACTAGACACGCCCCTTGGCTGAACCCCAGGATACCATCAAACTGACCGTCGTCTTCTAGAGTCTTGGTCACCAACTCAAGAGATGAATCAAAGCCTTTAGAGATACTGCTCCTGTCCGTGGACTTGAAGTAATCATCTTCCCTAGAGAACCACCAGCCTCTTTCCTCTGTTTCTTTTGGTATATTTTCCTGAAGGTTGCCATCCTCTTGGTCTGCCCACGCTGCGCTGCCAAGATTTCCAGGAGGGACTCTGTGAGGGGCTGTTATATACACAAGGTCCGCGTGATTTTTTAGCAACTTTCTCAATGCTCCTGTCTTTTCTTTAAAAGCTTGAGCATTTTGCCTGTAGCCGTGTATACAGAGTATCTTTAGCTTTCTGGTGCTGGTCATTAGTCAAGGTCTTAAGCTGCTGAAAGGGGAAAAAATTTTTTTTTAGCATTTAGCATCTGTAGACCTACAACCTAATGAAAATGACAGCAGCTGTTTTTATTAAACATACCAATTTGTACTAGAATCTATAACTGGCTATTTATAATAATTTAATTAAGCTAAACAATCATTTATAGTTTAATCATATATTTAATAATTACTCTTAGACTTAAGTAAGACAACCCCACAAAAACAATGCTTTAAATCATAAGTATCTTACTCATACTGGCCTGCTGTAAATCAACTGCCCAAAAATACCTCAGCTATCAGTTTATTTTGAAAGATTGATGAAGCGGTTTGTTTATTTTTAAATAATTCCAAACGGAAAAGAAAATTGAGATATTCAAGTTCTAACTTGTTCTTGTAAAATTCAGAAACTGCTGGAATTCCTCTCCACTTGAATTTTACTTCTTTAAGTTTTTTTTAGAAATGTTTTATTAAATTAGATTCTGGTATTCTAGGCCTAACAAAAATGCATAAAGAAATACTTGAAATAGGCTGAGTGATTTCCTAATGTTTTTGTGTGTTTCGATTGATTATAGGGTAATCTATCGTTTTAGCGTAATCAATTCGGTCGCCACTAGTAATGTAGGGATAAGGTAACTAATAAATATGGCTTAAATATGAATATATTTTAGTATATTCTACTAAAATACTAAAGATAATTGAATATTAAACCACATTTAAAGGTTAAATCAATAAAAATGTCTTGAAATTAAGGTTTGACAACGATGTTCCAGATACTAAAATTGCTATTAAAAACAGCGGCCATCTTAAGAAAATATTATTTTGAGTCATTTCCCTTTCATTTCTATTTGTATAGAAATGTATTGATGTTTGCTATTAAATACGTTTGTCTTGTGTTTAAATACAAAGCATGCGTTGTTTTTTTTTTCTGACCTTTAAACAATTTAATTGACTGACAATAAACATCAGTTCTAGAATTATTATTATGAGATGCAATTTTATACATTAAGAAACTCCCTATTTTTATAGAGCTACCACTACATATCTAATGTTTATTTAAATATTAGTTTGAGTTAATTGTTATTGCTTGTGTTATTGTTTGTTTGCTATTTTCATGCTTTTTTCCTTTAATTAGTGATTTAATCATAAATGACGTCACGTTTTTTTTTACCTCTCTTCACCTTAAACCCCCCACCCCTCCCCCCATTTTCGCCGTCACGAAATAGTCGTAATGTCGAACATTACCTTTTTGGCCTGCCTGTTAAGTTAAGCCATAATTCAAACGAAAAAGAATTTTTTCGGCCTTTTTGTATTAGGCGAAATACATAATGTTTCACGTTTCTTACCCCTCCCCTTTCCCGCGTAAAACGTCGTCTCAAAATCAGTTACTCCACCCCTTAAGGGCATGGGCGGGTGATGAGTACCAACTTCCTTATTTCCGAGTCTAAAGATGTAATACTTGGCTAATAGTTATAACTCAAAGAGTTAAGCATAAAAATATTTTTTTTAATTCTTTAAATCTTCCGTTGCCATGGTGACGGCGGCCATATTGGATTTTATTGACGATTTTTAAATGGAAATAACTCAAAAATGGTTTGTTCAAATTTCATGAAAACTTAATATAGTCTGCAGACACATGTGTTTAAGACTTCTGATAGATAACATTTTCAAAAAAGAAAATAGTTTTTTTTTTTACTTTTTTTTTAAAAACATTACTGTAAAAATTTCATTATTTCGTCCAATTTTTTCACTATTTCAACAACAAAAATTTTTTTTTTACAAAAATTCCAAAAGTGTTCTATCAGTTTTCTTTGAACATATATAAAGAGTAACTGGAGCAAATTTAGTTCAGTTCTGATAATTATTAACAAAGTTATTTCAACAATTGTACAAAAAAACATCAAACTGAGAAAAACGCAAAAAACTAACAAAAAGTTGCAAAAAATGAACATTTATCGCTGTATGTCACTAAAATCGACCACATTTATAGCCTGAAGTATGGTGCTGCTGAATATATTCCTTCTGAGCTTGTTCGGCTGTTAGTTTTCTTTTTTTCTGGCGCTGTTTGTTTTACCTAGAGTTGTAGTAAAGCTGTTGTCATGGCGTCTTTTTTCGCGTCTTCACTGGGTCCTCGACTATGGTTTCCTTCTTTTGACAGCAATGCCATAGCATGCCTGGGCCCAAAATTGAATTATGCTATCACAGAAACAGCAGTATATTTTGCATGGTCTCATGTCTAAAGCCAATTATGATAAGACGTCTTTGTTTATTGTGAAAGGCCTTGTTCTGGATTCTTTTGCAGTTGTATACTTACGGTTTACAACATTTTTATTACTGCCACACCATGCTTGAAGCAAACCCTTTACACTGTTTTCATCAAAAGTAGCCACTACATCACAGTGTGCGAGGAGATGTATTGATAACATCAAGAAGCAAATCACAGTCGACAATAATTCTGCATGGCTGTGGTTTACAATTAGTACTACTAGTACTAGATGTAACAGTGCTTTCTTCTGTCTGTAAAAACTGTGTCTTACATTGCCGCAGTTTCTTAGTAAATGTGCATATTACATCTGCACCAGTGCTTGTCTGAATAGTGCTAGATTTAGTAGAGGTAGCTGCAATCAGTTGCATTCGGACGAGCCCTAGCTTTAGTAAATTAGTTAGATGTGTGTATCTATTTTTAGCGAGTATTTTGTTCTACGCATTATCGAAAGAGAAACAAATTAAATCGTCTCACTGCTTATGATAATTCACACAAACTAATCTAAACTGTTAATAGTATATTTAATTGAAATAATTATATGTTAAAATAATGTAAGTATTTTACAGAAGCTTAGAGAAACAAAACTAGATCAAACTTAGCAACGCGCTGAAACTAAGGGAATGTTTACTCCCGAAGCGAAACGACCAATCGCTAACTAGCTTCCGCCGTCGTATGCCAATGAAAAAATTGAGGTCAAAAATTTGCATACCGGAAAAACCCGACTGAGTAAAATAAACAACTTTATGACGTAGAAAAATAATCACATTAAAATATGTATTTTGATTGGTCATTTAATTTTAGAACAAATAAAGAAAGGAGGTCACGGCCTTTCCATTGATATGAAACACATTAGGTTTCCGCGAAGCCTAATAGTACTTTTCTAGGTAGAAAAATTGCTATTTTTACCAAAAAATTAAACAAAAGACCATGTACACACTACATTGAACCCGGTTTTTCATAATTAAATACTGTTTTTAGGGTCATAACAATGTCATTTTTAGATTCAACGATGGTTATTCTGTATAGATCAAGTAAAAGTGGGAAATCGATGATTTAGTGGATTTATGACGAAAAGTACACCCGCCCATGCCCTTAAGTGCGTGATGTCATTTATGGTAGATGTCGTCCTAACCTCCAATACACATTTTGAACAACCTTTGTTGTCAAAATGTTGATACCAAATACCCAAAATGAGTTATATGGGGTTGTCCATAAACGATGTCACATATGCTATTCTAATGTGACGTCAATTTACGCAGGACTGCAATTTATGACCTATAATGAAGGGGTGATCGGGGGGGGGGGGATGAGTGACGTCAATTACAGAAGACTTCTATAAAGCTGTGCTCAATGAAAATGAGGAACATAAAGCGTTCGTTTTCATGCATACCTTTGCTCATAACCAATGATCATAACTATTGCAAGCCTGTTGTCTTTAGAGGTGTAAACAACCTCAGCACATCATCCCCGCCAAAAAGGGCCTGCCACTAAATGCCTACCGGCGAAAATAGGCCGCACTACATTGACTCCAAATGAAATAACTTCTGACAATAAGGCTCAAACCAACTAGCTCCTGGCAACGATATTCGACAAGAATCCAAGTTAATTATTGGCTTGCAGGTAAAATTGGACAAAACAGAAGTTTCGCGACATGGGGCATAACAAAAGATCAACCCTTAATACGACAACAGCTAATGTAAAAAGCCAGAGCTCAGTATAGGCTTGAGTTTAATATAGAAATAGTGTTAGCAGTGGACGGTGCGTTAGGAATACGGCAGTCGGCTAAACGCCCGAGTCCGACGATGTCTGAACATCAAGTTTGTCTTTTATGAAGTGCGGAGCACCTTTAAGAGCTGAGCTTGGGGAGGGGGAGGGGGTCCCTGTTGACACCACCACTAGCGCTGCTTATGTCCACATATCAATCACAAGTTTTGCGTGGAGCTTAATGGACAGACGAAGTTTATATGTGGGACCGGGAGTCTAAATGTATTTACGGAAGCCGCTGTGTCACAGGCATTTTACAGCCGATCGTCTCAGGGCAGCAGGTTGCAGAAATTAAAAGCACGTGAATTCGTATAGTAGAGGGAGAACATCATGCCTCTGTAATAAATTAAACACCAATATAATTTACCGTACTAAAGTCATTTAGATCTATTCGTCAGACTAAACGTCGCTAAAGTCTCAACGCAATACTGCCTGTTTTGACTTTTTTAATTACGCGGTATCTCTTTCTTTAACATTAGCCTAATGACAAATGACGTCACGCGCGCCGAGAACTTGGTGATGTTGTGCTTAGTGGGGGATGAAACGGCGGGGTCGAGAAAAATGACGAATTTCTTTTTTTAAACAGACGAATAAGTGATAGATTCTAATTTTCCTACGAACTATAGGTTGATCTAGTTTTTTTTTTCTAGGGGGAGATATCACTACATAGTGGGTGTTTTTTGTTTTTGTAATAAAGGATGGTGGGGATGGGTAAACATCGACTATTGAACAAATAAAAAAACTGATGAAAGCAGAAGGCAAAGAAAAAAAACCATGTGGTATTCAGATGTAACTAATTAAAATTTAAAACTATTTTTATAAACACAATAATCTTAATTCAGAAAAAGTGTAGGCCAAAGACTAATGTCCACAGACAAAATAAACAACTAGGCTTAAATGGATCACCCATAAACAGTGCCGGCGCCAGGTTATTTAGTTAATAAAAGCGCCCCCCCCCATCTGCAATTTTTTTCATGCCCCCGTATTATCAGAGGCGTAGCGACCCTTCCCGGCTCCCGGGGACAAGCTTACGATTTGTACCCCCCCCCCCCTCAAACTTTCAATTTGTTTTTCCAACCCATTTTGGCGCCCCGTCCCCCCCGTCCCCCCCCCCCCCCCGCCTACGGACAGCACCCTAGGCGACAGCCTAGTTCGCATTATAGGTAGCGCCGGTCCTGTCCATAAATGACGTCATACTTTTCCCGATGAATTCCCTTTCCCCCAATCGTCACTAAAAGCAAGATGATGATTTAATATCATATCGCAGTTCTACTATACCCGAACGCGTAATCACAATTTCTAACGAAAACGAATATATTCTTCATCATTTTTAAAAAAAAAATATTTTACCCCGTCCCATATTTTGAGTCCAACGTCATTTATGAAGAATATGGACGACCTAATAATTGACAAGTTCATCAGTACAAAAGGGTTTAATAAATGATGGACCTCCCAAAAGGTTTTGAGATCTTGGATGTACATACATACATAGCCTTCATTTCAATTGAAATTAAAGATAAGAATATGGCCCTCTGCCCTACTTATATTAAACAAGACAACTATGTATATTCAACAACAAAGTCAACACAATACACATACGAATAGACATTTGTATCAAGGGAAACTACTCTAAATTTTATTTGGAAAGATGGCCGCTGTTTTTATCTACTAATATTTATCTCAAAGACCTAGTTTAAAGTTAGTTTCATGATATTTTAAATTGTTTTGGTCACTGATTGTTATTTTTAATCAATTATCTGTTATATTTTGTAAAATTTGACTTAAATATACTTATTTAAACAAATATATTCATCAGTTACCTCACCCGCACATTACTACTGCAGCCGAATTGATTACGCTAAAACGATAGATTACCGATTATAGGCCTAATAATACTAGATTTAGATCTAGAATCTAGACCTAATCTAGATCTAGAAGTTTTGGCCTATAAGCCTATAGTTTATATTTATAATTTTAAAAAAATCAATACGTTCAACTGGACTGGAGGGGAACGTGAAGCGGGGAATAAAATACGCTATAAAATGGTTAGGCCTAACCGTTAAATGGAGTTTTACCTTAAATAATAAATAGGGCCTATAGGGCCTACTTTACGGAGTTTTACCAGTGTCTGCTCCCTCTTTCGTACTCCAAAGCAATGTTGGGATTACCCTATTTTGTATTTCTTATTAATATAAAGTATTATAAAGTTGGTCTGTTGATGCGTCAGGCCTACTTCTTGATCTTTTTATTTATGGTCACACTAATTACCGTGAAAATGATACTTCATGCTTAACTCCCACTAACTGAAATTATTTATAATTAATTATGAATTCTAAAAAAATTTACCAATGATCGCGCAATTAATTTAATTAAAACTTTCATGAGCATTTCTCGATTATAAATCAAATATTATATCGTCCAGAAAAATTATATGAAATATTCACACTATTCCCATTCCGTTATTAGTTAAATATTTTTATAAGAAAATACGAGGAAGTTTAAGTTGGATAACTCCCTCTTAATTTTTTTTATAATAGTAATATAGGTATAAAGGCTAATAGTAATATGTTTGTTTTTAAGCTATTGATTAATGACTCTCACAATATGAACTTTGGTGCTTCTAAGATTTTCTTACAATTCGCGTATTTTGGAAAAAGAAAAACACTATATTTCAATCAGAGTATCAAGATGTGCATGCTATAATATTGGCCCTCGTCCATGCAGGATGGGAGGGTTCCCACTCCGTCCCTACCTGAACCACCTGAATTAGAAAAATAAACTAGAGAAAGTATCACGTGACAAAATCACCTGCTGAATGTTACAATAAGGATATGCAGTGTTTCTGTCAAAGATACCTGAAAGAAACTCTTGTGCATGAAAATGAAAAAAAAATTGGTGTATAACATCATCATGATTGACCATACGCCCTACTTCTGTTGTAAAGTAGTAGGCCTGCATATTTTATAGTCTACATTTTTAAAATATAGGCCTATTTATTAAAAAAAAAATTTTTATTAAACAGCACTTAATATTTCATAAAAATGTCATCATTTGTTAATTTTAAAAGAAAATTGTTGATATTTTTAAAATTAAAATCCTATCCATTTTAATTAAGTTTAGATGAGTAACTGATTAGCCTCGGAAATTATCAAACACTTGAAATAAGGGAGACAAATTATTCAGAAATAACACCAACAATGGGATATTGTGGCAAGGGACGAAACTGTGTCTCAGTAACTTGTTGTACTGTTATTACTGTTAATTTTTAATGGCATATGGCTACTTTAAACAAACTAAACAGACACAATATGCACATATGGAGAAAAAAAAACATAACCATAAGCACACACACACAAAAATTCATTTATGCCTGTTTTGTCTTTCGCAAATTAGATTTTGACATGCCTACATCTGCTAAGTAAAATTGTAAAGGCGTGTCTACTACTATCTACTTGAGTTGGACTACGAGTAAAATTGTAAAGAAGTATCTACTACTATCTACTTGAGTGGACTACGAGTAAAATTGTAAAGAAGTATCTACTGCTATCTACTTGAGTTGGACTACGAGCAAAATTGTAAAGAAGTATCTACTACTATCTACTTGAGTGGACTACGAACAAAATTGTAAAGAAGTATCTACTACTATCCACTTGAGTGGACTACGAGCAAAATTGTAAAGAAGTATCTACTACTATCTACTTTATGAGTTAAAGTACGAGTAAAATTGTAAAGAAGTATCTACTACTATCTACTTTATGAGTTAAAGTACGAGTAAAATTGTAAAGAAGTATCTACTACTATCTACTTTATGAGTTAAAGTACGAGTAAAATTGTAAAGAAGTATCTACTACTATCCACTTGAGTGGACTACGAGTAAAATTGTAAAGAAGTATCTACTGCTATCTACTTGAGTTGGACTACGAGCAAAATTGTAAAGAAGTATCTACTACTATCTACTTGAGTGGACTACGAACAAAATTGTAAAGAAGTATCTACTACTATCTACTTGAGTTGGACTACGAGCAAAATTGTAAAGAAGTATCTACTACTATCTACTTGAGTTGGACTACGAGCAAAATTGTAAAGAAGTATCTACTACTATCTACTTGAGTTGGACTACGAGCAAAATTGTAAAGAAGTATCTACTACTATCTACTTGAGTTGGACTACGAGCAAAATTGTAAAGAAGTATCTACTACTATCTACTTGAGTAGACTACGAGTAAAATTGTAAAGAAGTATCTACTACTATTACTACTATCTACTTGAGTGGACTACGAGTAAAATTGTAAAGAAGTATCTACTACTATTACTACTATCTACTTGAGTGGACTACGAGTAAAATTGTAAAGAAGTATCTACTACTATCTACTTGAGTGGACTACGTGGGTCCTCCATCCAATCATTCACAGTTCACCTTATAGTTACAGTTCACAAGTGTGATAATCACTAGGAACATGGTGTTATACACACAGTGGAATGTATATAGAAAATATAGACTTATAATAACAGTCAAGTGCTCCACCCCCGGAGAAAAGTCCGGATGAAACTTCTTTTTAACTTTTTTTTTCTAAATAACGAGAAATTTTGCAGTCTTGGCACTTGGTTATGCTAAAACCGTTTGTTTAAATACAAGTGCTATCTAAACGTCATGCTTGTTTTTTTTTTTTAATCGAGGTCCTCCCTGGAAGAAACTCTGCCCCTCCTTTGATACGCCTCTGCCCATCAGTGACTTGATTGAAGCTGAAAACATCCAATCTATGTTCTTAAAACTCTTGGCGTTCAAAGTGTGTAGACAAAACGACGTTAAAAACAAACATTTAAAAACAATGGGGGCAAGTCTACCTTAACTCACAAGATAAAACGATTAGCTACGACCATATTTTACTGGATCTATTTTTATTTCTTTTTTTTTTGCAAATTTAATAATTACAAAAAAAAAATATGATCAACATTATAATAATAATAGTGATAAATAAAATTTTTGTAAACTTGTATACAAATATACATGCAACAATTCAAAAACATTTGATGTCAAGTTAAGTCTGACAAGTTCAAAATATCATTCAACAAAATTGTAAATAAAAACTTCAGTTCAAAATGTTAAAAACTGTCATAAACTGTTATTCAACAATAGTAGAAAAAACAATGTGTGAAAAAAATAATTTAAATTGTCATAAATTGTCATTCAACAATATTTATAAATATTTAAATAATTACAAATGTAACCCAACAGATATAAATAATTTTTCAAGCGTACATGATCACCGTCCAAGATATGAGGTAAAAATATGATTTTCAAAACATGAGGTCATATTATGATTTTCAAAATATAAGGTCATATGATTTTCAAAACATGAGGTCATATTATGATTTTCAAAACATGAGATCATATTATGATTTTCAAAATATAAGGTCATATGATTTTCAAAACATGAGATCATATTATGATTTTCAAAACATGAGGTCATTAGAGAATGTTTGAAGCTGTGTGGTTTAAAATGTAACATTGAACCAACTCAGAATGGAGCAATTTTCAACCTGGTTGACAACTACGCGCCAAGTCCGCGCAGTCAAACTTTTGACAAGGCTTTCTTCTCTTCCTTAGTGGCCAAATATTTCTGTGCGCACGGCTCGAAGATTGGAATGACGGAGCCAATGAGGGCCATGATCCCACAGAAGATGAAAGCATAGTTCCAGGACAAGGTGGCATCACGGATCAGACCTGCGGGCACGTGCAATGTTTTGGTCAGTCTAAGACACGAAATGTGTGTACGTGAATGTTTTGGTCAGTCTGACACGAAATGTGGGTACATGCAATGTTTTGGTCAGTCTAAGACACGAAATGTGCGGTATGCTGATTAGATTACAGACGTTTTAATTTATTGAATGTCACACAGAATTTGGGCTCAATCCTTTAACAAAAGTACACAAATGATCGGCCTGGTTTTTACACTGACTTACCACAAATAATGGGTCCTGGTAGCAGACTTGTTGCCATGGAGATGGTGATCAGACCATATGAGCTGCTCAGCTTTTCAACACCTGGTCAAATAATTTTTTTTAGAATTTTTTAAGAAGTGGATACAAACATGTAATCAAAATATACAACATACTAGGAAGCATAACCAATATAATTTAATTTTGTTTTGTTTTATTTAACCGAATGTTTAAGCCTTTAATAATTTTCCACTGATTTAATTACTGAGAAGATTTGGAGTCATCCATAAATGACGTCACGCTTTTTTGGACGATTTTTACCCCCCTCCCTCCCCTCCGTCACACGTCATCACAAAAAGCCAGACCCCCCCCCCCTAAAATGACGTCACACCTCAGCCTACGACCCCCTCAAAATTGCTGTTTAATATTTCTTAAACCGTCGGAATTTTCCAAAATCTTGTCTGAACTCTCTCAACATTGAGTATTTTGATCAATCCCTATTACAATTTATTGAAACCGTTATCTAAAACGCGAAATAACGGCTAAAACTAATTTTCTAACACTGCTTTTTTGTAATGCAAAAGTGTGACGTCACACCATCTAAATACCCCCCCCCCCCCTTCATCACACACCGTCATAAAATTACGGACCCGCCCCCCTTCCCCCTACGAGTGTGACGTCATTTATGGACGACCCCTTTAACAAAAGACCTATCCTGTCTAAAGACACTGACCTAATCAACTTTTAAACCTAACATAAGAACTACCTAGACCCTCCAGGTGTTGACCTACCTAGAGCCCTGGAAGTGACCTAATAGATGACCTACCTAGAGCCTCTGCCAACAGTACAGCTATCAACGCCCAGAAGGCGCCACCAAAGAACCCGTACAACGCGGCGTATGTTGCCATGGCAGCGAATGACGTCATTGCCGGTACAATAATGTTCAGGACCGCACTGATGGCTATACAACCAATAAATCTGTGAAACAATCACGTCATTAGTTCAGACAGTTTTTGGAGTAGACATTTGTAGTGTAGGGGTGAACATTATCAGGAGGAAAATAACATTTGCAGGGTGTGAGTAAATATTTTCATGATACCATTGCCAGTTTCCGGTAGGTTAAAGACTGACTAAAGTTTCTCCGCTGGGATGCAAGATTTGAAACCTCCCTGAGCCCTACCCATAAAGGATTCGGCCTTTTCAGGTTGCTTTCACTAGAAGATAAAGTGGTCGCACTACTTACCCAAATCTTTTGGGGATGAAATTAAAATCCGAGAACCACCCTAAACAAAAGCGCCCCAAGAGATCTGTGATGCCAATGATGGAGACCAACAGGGCGGCACTGTTCCTGTCCTGGCCATTCTGTTACAACAGCAAAAACAGTTTGATGAGTTTTTGTTTTAATTATTTACTTGTTAACTAACATCCATTTGTAAATAATTAGAAACTAAATTTTAATTGTTTACAAGTCAGCCTCCTGCTTAAATTACAATTATTTATATGTTAACCTGTCATGTCAACCTGTCATTATGTCAAACTGTCATTATGTCAACCTGCCACTGTATACACCTACAGATACCCCCCCCCCCCAACCAACACAACCTGCTAACAGACTTACGCTCTCTGCAAACGCCGGCAGCATGAAGAAGATGTTGGGGTAGCCAAAATTGGCCAGCACGCAGGAGAAGGCGTACATCAGGAAGACGGGGTTCGTCACCAGGGACCAGTTGAACAGCTTCGGCTTGTTCGGGTCCTTGACCTTTGCCTTGTTGCTGGCCTTGACCTTGGTCTTGTTCTCGCTCCCCCCGGGCCGCGAGAGACAGCCCAGGTCCAGGCACCGGTTGTTGAGGTCAGCCATGTCCTCGCGGGGAATGTTCTGGAGCGAGGCCATGAAGATGTCGCCGTTGCTGGCGTACTGTGATGGCGTCAGGCGACCACTCGTCACATCCGGTGCCAGCAGGTGCATGCCAGGTTTACGGAGGTTCGTCTCCCCTTTGTAAATTAAATTCCGACTTCCGGAAAGCGCCAGGTTTTTGTCGTTCTCGTAAAGTTCCCAGTTGCCAGAGTTGTTGTTGAGGAGTTTCTCCATCTCCACGCCGTCGTTTCTCATGTCCTTGTCCGTACTGTCCTCTCTGTGTATGTGGTCCTGGTCCTCTTCACACTTTACTGTGGGCACCCTCCCCTCCTCTGTGTTATTCGTCTCACCCTCTGTAACTTTTGTTCGCTTGACCTTTGGCCTGTAACTGCTAAGTGGTCTAAACAGCATGGCGCATGCGCAGACGTTGAGAGTGATGGCGCCAAGGATGAGCAGACACCCGCTGAGGTCGTACGTGTCCAGGAGCACACGCATGATGTTCGGGAGCACGAAGGAGCCCACGCCGGAGCCCGACACGGAGATGCCGTTGGCCAGGCTTCGACGCTTCCTGAAGTGGCATCCGACCATCACGACACAGGGGCTGTAGGACAGGCCGAACCCTATACCTGAACACGGGGAGACAGCATTAGACAGGGTTGTAGGACAACCCAAAACCCAACCCTACACCTGAACACGAGGAGACAGCTTTAGACAGGGTTGTAGGACAACCCCAAACCCAACCCTAGACCTGAACACTAGGAGACAGCTTTAGACAGGGTTGTAGGACAACCCCAAACCCAACCCTACACCTGAACATTAGACAGCAGGTAGTTAATATGGTGGTGACTCACCTGTGACCGCGTAAGTCAGGTACAGGTTCCAGAACGAGGGCATGTAGGCAGTCATGATGAAGCCGATGGACGTGAGAATTCCTCCGACGAAGACAACTTTCCGACACGTGAAGCGTACCGCCAACATGTTGGAGAACAGCCCTGTCAAATTACACGAGAGATGTGACAATGGTCAAGTCAAATTACACGAGAAATGTGACAATAGTCACGTCAAATCACACGAAAGATGTGACAATAGTGATGTCAAATTACACGACAAATGTGACAATAGTGATGTCAAACAGCCACGAGAGATGTCACGGAGAGCAGTACCACTAAATGACACAGTTGACATTTACAATCGTGTGGACGTTAACGTGGACAGGTGTCATGTGACATTTGATTCTCTAGACTAAAGTAACACCTGAAGAACTCTAGACCTCCGTGACCTATACAATAGGTCATGTCGAGTATCGCTATAATCACTGACACTCTTTCGTAGACCAAACATGAAGGTCATGTCCTTGACCGTATGGCAACTCAACACTCACCTAGACCAAGCATGAAGGTCATGCCCTTGACCTGTATGGTAACTCAACACTCACCTAGACCAAGCATGAAGGTCATGCCCATGCCCTGTATGATGCCCAGCTCCTGGGCACTGGCCTGGTACTTGTCCTGGAACTCAACAAACAAAACTCCAAACGACTTGACTCCGCCCACGATCAGCATGTGCATACCGAAACAGCCTACACGTGAGTGAGACAGGTGAGTTGGTTTAAAGCAACAACAGCCTACACGTGAGTGAGACAGGTGAGTTTAAAGCAACAACAGCCTACACGTGAGTGAGACAGGTGAGTTTAAAGCAACAACAGCCTACACGTGAGTGAGACAGGTGAGTTTGTTTAAAGCAACAACAGCCTACACGTGAGTGAGACAGATGAGTTTGTTTAAAGCAACAGCAGCCTACACGTGAGTGAGACAGATGAGTTTGTTTAAGGGCATGGGCGGGTGATGAGTACCAACTTCCTTATTTCCGAGTCTAAAGATGTAATACTTGGCTAATAGTTATAACTCAAAGAGATAAGCATAAAAATATTTTTTTTAATTTTTTAAATCCTCCGTTGCCATGGTGACGGCGGCCATATTGGATTTTATTGACGATTTTTAAATGGAAATAACTCAAAAATGGTTTGTACAAATTTCATAAAAACTTAATATAGTCTGAAGACACATGTGTTTAACACTTCTGATAGATTACATTTTCAAAAAAGACGATAGTTTTTTTTTTACTTTTTTTTCCTATACATCACTGTAAAAATTTCATTATTTCGTCCAATTTTTTCACTATTTCAACAATAAAAAAAAAATTTTTTTTTAATTTCCAAAAGTGTTCTATCAGTTTTATTTGAACATATATACAGAGTAACTGGAGCAAATTTAGTTCAGTTCTGATAATTATTAACAAAGTTATTTCACTAATTGTACACAAAAGTATCAAACTGAGAAAAACGCAAAAAACCAACAAAAAGTTGCAAAAAAAGAAAATTTACAGCTGTATGTAACTAAAATTGACCACATTTATTGCCTGAAGTATGGTGCTGCTGAATATATTTCTTCTGAGCTTGTTCAGCTGTTAGTTTCCTTTTTTTCTGGCTTTCTTTGTTGTACCTAGAGCTGTAGTAAAGCTGTTGCGAAGGCGTCTTTTTTGGCGTCCTTCATTGAGTCTTCGACTATGGTTTCCTTCTTTTGACAGCAATGCCATGGCATGCATGGGCCCAATACTGAATTATGCTATCGCAGAAACAGCAGTATATTTTGCATGGTCTCATGTCTAAAGCCAATTATGATAAGACGATGTCTTTGTTTATTATGAATGGCCTTGTTCTGGATTCTTTTGCAGTTGTATACATACGGTTTACAACATTTTTATTACTGCCACACCATGCTTGAAGCAAACCCTTTACACTTTTTTCATCAATAGTAGCCACTACATCACAGTTACACTCTGGGCAAGGAAATGTATTGATAACATCAAGAAGCAAATCACAGTCGACAATAATTCTGCATGGCTGTTGTTTACAATTAGCACTACCATACTAGATGTAACAGTGCTTTCTTCTGTCTGTAAAAACTGTCTTACATTGCCGCAGTTTCTTAGTAAATGTGCATATTACATCTGCACCAGTGCTTGTCTGAATAGTGCTAGATTGAGTAGAGGTAGATGCAATCAGTTGCATTCGGATGTGCCTTTGCTTTAGTAAATTCGTTAGATGTGTGTATCTATTTTTAGCGAGTGTTTTGTTCTACCCATTATCGAAAGAGAAACAAATTAAATCGTCTGACTGCTTATGATAATTCACACAAACTAATCTAAACTGTTAAAAGTATATTTAATTTAAATAATTATATGTTAAAATAATGTAAGTATTTCACAGAAGCTTAGAGAAACAAAACTAGATCAAACTTAGCAACGCGCTGAAACTAAGGGATTGTTTACTTACGAAGCGAAACGACCAATCGCTAACTAGCTTCCGCCGTTGAATGCCAATGAAAAAATTGAGGTCAAAAATTTGCATACCGGAAAAACCCGACTGAGTAAAATAAACAACTTTATGACGTAGAAAAATAATCACATTAAAATAGGTATTTTGATTGGTCCTTTAATTTTAGAACAAATAAAGAAAGGAGGTCACGGCCTTTCCATTGATATGAAACACATTAGGCTTCCGCAAAATCTAATAGTACTTTTCTAGGTCGAAAAATGTCTATTTTTACCGAAAAAGTGAACAAATTACCCTGAACACACTACTTTGAACCCGGTTTTTCATAAATAAATAATGTTTTCAGGGTCATAACAATGTCATTTTTAGATTCAACGATGGTTATTCTGTATAGATCAAGTAAAAGTGGGAAATCGATGATTTAGTGGATTTATGACGAAAAGTACACCCGCCCATGCCCTTAAAGCAACAGCAGCCTACACGTGAGTGAGACAGATGAGTTTGTTTAAAGCAACAACAGCCTACACGTGAGTGAGACAGGTGAGTTTGTTTAAAGCAACTGCAAAATATATCTCATTGACATGGTAAAAACTAAACATGAATTTTGGAGCTTTGTGTATTGGGAAATAATTCAAGATATGTGTCACTGGTTTTGGGGCGAAGAAAGAAACATTAATGTTAAATAATGACAATTTAAATTCGTTAAGAGCCCAAGACAGATCCATGAATGACACACGACAGACCCATGAATGACCCAAGACAGATCCATGAATGACCCACGACAGACCCATGAATGACCCAAGACAGATCCATGAATGACCCACGACAGACCCATGAATGACCCACGACAGACCCATGAATGACCCAAGACAGACCCATGAATGACCCAAGACAGACCCATGAATAACCCACAAATGACCCACCTATAACAACGACCCACGCCCATCCTCTGTCTATAGGGACACCGTTATCTTCTTCAACATCGGAACCATTGTCAGCAGTCTCTACAACTTTAGAACCATTGGCAGCAGTCTCTACAACCATAGAACCATTGGCAGCATACATGTCCTCTCTCCCTAGTTCAGCTCTGGGGGCTGTGGTCTCACCATTGACAGCCATACTCACTGGAAAAAAAAAGAAAATTCTTGGTGCTTATGCTGGTAAAATACATTGTGGTTTATTTATTTTTATCTTTGATTATAAAATATAATATTTCTCACTTCGACTTAATGACGAAACGTTATTTAATGTGCTATTTTTTTTATGCCTTCGTAATATTTCTGTTTTATTTTTTTTTCAACAATATCACGGCTCGTTTTTAAACTGCTGGTACTAGTGTAACACTTGGAGCAACTCGCAGAAGATTGAGAACTCCATTTTTATCAGAGCTACTTTTTAAACTGCTGGTACTATGACGTTTTTAAGGGCGTGAAACAGTGGGAGAGAAAAAAAAATGAGGAAGATAAAAAAAAGTAAACACACAACAGAGTATTGAATTTCGTGAACTACTCAGGGAGAATTATTTTCCACGAACGAAAATATCTTGGCGAACAAGACGGCCGAAATATCACGATAACTCGGCTGATGGGTGAAATCGATTTCAAATGAAAATTTAATTGTTTTGTTTGTCAGATAATGAGTGGCTATCTCTAGCTTTAAACAGATTTAAAAAAAAAAACAGAACTTTGGAGAGGGAGACACAATGAAAACAGAGGACGAGGAAACCTAAAAACACAACAATAACACTTTGTTTGTTTACATAGACTTCTGTATAGTAGTTGTATTTTAGTCAGGTTGAAAAAAAAATGTTCTGACCGAATGTTTTCTCAACGACCTGAATAATAACGGTAATTTCAAGGAATTGTCGTTGAATCCTGGGATTTCGTGGTTTGGTGAATTATGGGATTTCGTGGTTTGGTGAATTATGGGATTTCGTGGTTTAGAAGTGTTTCTCAAGGTCAAGGTTCAGGAAGCTGTTCAGACACATGGCCCGCACATTTTCGTGATGGACTGATTAGACTAATTACCGGGGCTCGTACTGGCTAGAGACTAATTAGGTCAGTCCTGTGGTCTCGGGACCGACTAACGTCAAAGATTCCACGGGCATTACCCACCCCCGGGCATTACCCCACGCAGAGCATTACCCCACCCAGAGCATAACCCCACCCCCTTACACTCAGACCATCCCAACCCCTCAGAGAGCCCACCCCCCCCCCCCACACACACGCCCCAGCTATCACTTAAACCAGATACCGAGGAGCTCGATAAAATGACCATCAGAGCTATCATGGCCGGCAGCTGCTGTTTGTTTTTAAATCCCTTTCCTGTCTGCTGTAGAGTGCTCACCCGTATCTATAAATAGAAAATAATAGCGGAAGTGGGGTGACGTCAAACTCAGATATTGGATAGGAAGGATTGGAAGGATTAACTTTCAGTGTCAGTAAACGGGAGGGGGGGGGGGGGGTGCAGGGATGAATGAATGGGCTTTAAAAAAATAATTTCATTCATCTTTGCAACAGCTATTGGTGGTTTAGCCATTGTTAGGTTGGTTGTTTAGCCATTGTTAGGTTGGTGGTTTAGCCATTGTTAGGTTGGTTGTTTAGCCATTGTTAGGTTGGTGGTTTAGCCATTGTTAGGTTGGTTGTTTAGCCATTGTTAGGTTGGTGGTTTAGCCATTGTTAGGTTGGTGGTTTAGCCATTGTTAGGTGACACAATTTTCGTGAGAGTAAACAGTGAGAGATGGGGGGGGGGGGGCAGTGAGAACCTGAGACACGTGCGTCTAACCTAGGTGGTCCGTGGTTCTAAATTTATCGGACCAAGATCTCGTCAGCCAGATGGCAATTTTGTATCTGGGTAGAGGAATGGGACGGTCGCAAAAACTCACTCAACGTTTATCGTCAGGTACGGGGGTTAGGGTGGGGTCCACGCCTGGTCGGTCCGTGTGAGGCGTGGTAGTGTCCACGTGGAGCGTGGCAGTGTCTATTTTTAGAGAGCCAACTCCAAAATGCCTAACCTGATTACAAAATGTGAAATATTTTCTGTCTTGTACAAATACGGGGAGGGGTTGGTATGGTCAAGGTAAGAGAAATGTTACAGTCTCACCTGACATTCAACATTTGTGGTTAGCTGAGCGTAATGTCATGTGGGGGATTGGCATGTGGAGAAATGACATGTGGGGTAAATGACAGTTGGGGTAAATGACAGGTGGGTAAATGACATTGTTTTGTTACACGGTACAGTACACTCAACAAATCAGCAGACATGTCGGTAGCTAAGGTAGCAACGGGTATCGCTGATGTGCATGACATTACTGGTGTGTGACGTCACCGGATCTATGACACCACTGAACTTGTGACATAAGTGCATGAATGACATCAGTGGGTGTATGACATCATAATGTATGTGACCGTGTGACATCACTCAGTATACGACATTGCTGTATTTATGACATCGCTGTATTTATGACATCACCGTATGTATCGAAAGGCTCAACCACAAGTGTAAACATACCACCTTTCGATTTCAATTATCTTTCAACGTATCATATTCTCGTTTATTTACGATCATATTTTATATCCGAAAATAACCCCGTTTGAAGTAATAAAAGAAAATAATATGTATAACACCAATTAGGATTGATCAAATATTTACTAGAAATGTTATCCTGCACCCACCCCCACCCAGAAGAATTATTTTCAATCTGTAAATTCTAACAATGATTTCTGCCAGACGCAGACTTTGGTCCGGCACAATCAATACCATCCAAATAAACGCTAATTGGAGTCGTCTGCTAGAGAAACGGCGCCTCGCGTGCCGGCACACAATATGGCGGTCTGCTCGCGCGTGAGTGACTCCTGGGTACTCTCGTCTTGGTCTCGTGTGGACAGTTTATTTATAGATTGGCTTCTGTATTACATCAGTTTACATTTTTTTAAAAATCATCAATTTTAAAATGTTAAAAAATCATTGTATTACTTATATTACTGTTGGAATTTCATATTTGGGATATATATATATATATATATATATATATATATATATATATATATATATATATGTGTGTGTGTGTGTGTGTGTGTGTGTGTGTATACATGTTTGAATGTGTTTGTGTGTGTATGATTTGAGCAGATCAACTAGTTTGTGTAAACGATTGTTAAAGTTTAACCACGAATGAGATCCACTAGCGATGTTACCTCTGGCCACCCACCACACATCACCCACCCAACAGCACACATCTAATGCCACACGTCACACTCCACACACAACATGTTACACACTTCATGTATTCAACATTGCTAACACGATTCTACTGAACAGAATGATATTATCCCCATTCGACACATTAAAAACCTCTTCACTCTTGTAAATTCGTGTGTCAGGTTTTCTAGTTTCAAACACGCTGAAAGAAAATAAGTGTTCGCTGCGTTATGCTGCATTAAATGAAACAATTTTACTAGATTCCCAGTTTTAAAATTGCTGACCAAATCATGAATTCTCCACGAACCAACGGTGATTTATATTTGGCTTCTGACAATATTGGCCAGGAGTGGAATACAAATAGCTTCACGTGGTAACTTCCGGAATAAAAATTGGCAGTAGCACTGCATTATGGGTACTAAATATTCCAAAGTGAGGTCAGATGGTGACCTCGTCACCTCTGTTGATATAGCAAGTAGAATCACTCAAACTGTTGTGGTTTGTAATAATTTAGGAACATGATAAAAAGTTGTAGTGGGTCTGGTGCAGTGGAAATACAACATTTGGAAGTCGATAGGGCGAGTGGTGGGGGGGGGGGGGGCAGGGTGTACCCAGGGGCTGCCAAGTGGAGGCCTGGATGACCTTGACATTGCGATCTGTGGATGAGCAGTCTAAGATGTGATGAGAACTAACGTAAGGTGTGATTCATTGAATATAGCACTTGGTCAGAGGTAGTCTACATAGTAGGGGGGGGGGGGGGGTCTGTTCATTTGGTCGTATAATTGGTGGTATATTTGGTCGTATATTTGGATTTCACTGATTACAGATATCGACAAAAAAGGGGAAATAAGAGAGAGAGAACAGGGGAAAGCGGTAGGCCCATATAAAAATATTGACGCGAGTTTGTTGATGGAGCAAATCATATCTGACATGCCCCATCCTACACGACCCATCCTACACGACCCATCCTACACGACCCATCCTACACGACACATCCTACACGACACATCAACTTCAAGCTGCGACAACTCACACCCTGACATAGCCTCCAAGAATGACACCAATCGCTAGTCTCCCTTACCACATGTAATTATGGCTAGTCTCCCTTGAAAAATTATGTCTATGGCTAGTCTCCCTTAAAAAGTTCTGTCATGGCCAGTCTACCTGACCAGTTATGAGTTAAGTTGTAAAAATAAATCAACTTACCAGTCTGAAAGTTGATCTTGATAAATGACACCAAACACTACACGCCTCCCCACACCAAACACCACACACCTCCCCACACAAACAGTATACTGTCCAGCCGATTAAAACCATCACTCAGATAAGAAAAAAGAAATTTCGCCAACAATCCGACTAATTAATGAACTCGGCTTCCAACAATTAAAGTTTTTCTACAGCGTTGATTCCATATTCTATCTCACTCTTTAATAAACAACACAGCCATTGAACAAACTATTTTGTCCCTGAAAAAAATTACAGAATATTTTTAAACAACTTCACAGCTGAACACTGTTCAGTGGCAGTAAGCCAGGGACGACAACTCAGCTCACATGACGTCACAAGGCCGCGAGACAACGGTCAACTAACCGCTAAGACAAGATTTAATCCCCCCCACTGCGAATGACGTCACACGCAGCTGCCCCCTCCCCCTCCCTCACCATGGCCCCACCCACCCATGCAGTGTGCTATTGTTTCAACAAAATGGTTTGAAATATCTGGGAATCGATTGAAAAAATGGTTGGTCTAAGATCCGCAGGCTGAGATGTATGACACAGGTAGTTCTAAAAACTAGGATCATTTCTAGTTGAGATGTCTTACACTGGTAGCGTAAAAACTAGGATCATTTTATTGTTTTCAGAATATAGATTAGCAGAGCGTTGAATATCTTATCCAATTTATATTTATATATATATATATATATATA